GTGTGTGTGTGTGTGTGTGTGTGTGTGTGTGTGTGTGTGTGTCTATACGTGTATAGGTGAGCTTAAGAGAACCTTCTTTTTTGTGGTTCGGATTTTTCCAATTCAATTTATTGCACAGAGTTGATCTAAATGCTAATTTAAAACCGTTTTAAAATCTATTGTATGATATTCATGTTGAGAACGCCGTGCGCCGCAATGCATTATTTTGCCATTTCTTTCTCTTTCTTCGTTTTGGTTCTCATTTGGTTTTTGCCATTTTCCTCTTTATCTCCCATTTGGAAGTGATGTGTGTGTGTGTGTGCATGTGTCAAAGTGTGCGCGCTTCAAGTTTTTTTTTTCTTCAACTCTTTTATCGATAAATAAAAACAGACGTTTCGTTTGTCTGGCATTTCAATGCATCTTACGGCTGTTTCGGCCTGTTGTTTACAATTCTTGACGCTGCCAAGCAATTTATCGACAGTTCAAAAGTTTCCGGAGTTGAAGAAAAAAACAGAGATTATCCAAGCAGTCGATAAGTCATTGTGCATGCATGAAGCGAACAGTAGTAGAAGAATAACACAGTCAGATTTCATGGTTTTTGATTTGAAAACTAAAACTATATCACTGTGAAACAGAAGCAGAAGCAGAAAAGAGAAAAAACTAACGAAAACATCGAAAAAATCACATTCTAAATGATTTCATAATGATTTCACAATCATAAATGCCAGATTAAGTTACCACATCAGAATATTGACAGATTGTAAGCGATCATCGAATATGTGCATACGGCATGAAACATTCTGTCTCGATCGTGTGTTTCGAGAATGAAAATGAAACACGGTGTATGCAGAGCATCATCTGCGATTGTTGATCATAAATTTCAATCCAGTTTACGACGAAAAATGGCAATTCGACTGTTTATATACATTTTCGACAGACTCCGCGTGCACAAAAATTATTGGCCAATTTTCATGCATTACACGATATATATGTTTTCGCTTGCCGACTCGAGAACATTGCGGATTTTATTATTCATTAGAAGACGGCTGTTCAACAGCGCAAATAAAACAAAAGC